ACCCCTTGCCAGCGTTGGCCATTCGCCTGTAATTTTCGAGCTTCTTCCTCCTGTGAAAAAAGAGTTGAGTCCGCCTCTGCTCCATAGCCTTGCAACTGCTCGTAGCGCAGGATCAAATTCTGAAAGGTGTCAACATAAGTGATGTCCTTGATCTTCTCACGGTATTTTTCAACAATGTGAAGAACAATGGGTTTGATATTCTCTCGCTTGATGAACTCGAAGAGCTCAAGGCATGCGGAGTTGAGGAGGTTGTCGCGAGGCATAGTTTCGTACACAATGTCCAGGATCAGCCCGAAAGTGTTGTTGTGCGTCATCAACGCCTGGTAGAACGTATCTTGCAGGCTGACCAAGGTGCGGAAGAACTTCAAAGCAGCTGACGGTGCACGACGTTAGAGATCCGAAGAAAAGCCGCAGAATTCGGATATGGACTCACTTAATTTGAGGTGTTTCTGAGGAACTCTAAGTAACTGGGCAATTCGGGGCGCAAGAGCCTCGTTATGAATGACATTACGGCTTCGATAGAGATGTTGGCGGACGAAGAATGTGAGGATATCAACCAAATGTGAATATAGGGATACTTCTTGAAACGTGAGATCGTTAACTGCGTAGCCGTTGTCCAATTAGTATCGTTCGAGTATAATGGCCAACCAATGCACGCAGTACTTACGGTTGGTACGATTCTCAAGCCGTCTGAGGGGAAGAAAGAGTCTTCTAGCGGATTCATCAAAGTGATTCTGCATGAACGCATCGGAGAGAATATTAGGACGAAATTTCGAGAAATATTCGGGACCAGCCCGACCCATGGCATCCTGCAAAGGAATTTGAGGATCCAATAGAACTTTGATCGCATCTGCGAGCTGATTCTTCACACCAAGGTCGGATTCAGCATGCAGGAGATCGATGAGAGTATCGGTAAGGGGTGTTTTCTTTTCGTTGACGGCCTTGAGCATATATCCACGCATCATGATTGGATCGTGATCAAGCAGCGCTACAAGGAGATCGACTCCTGTAGTGCGCATGGCTGGATTAAGATGTTTGATGGCAAACGCAATGACGGCGAAAAGGCCGTGATTGATGAAGTTCGCAAACAGATTGGCGCGCGCGGGAGCCTGTAGATTCTTCGCGATTCCAGCGCACTGGTGAAGGAATTGCACGGCATCATCCTTCCGCTTCAAATCTGTGTTCCGAGGGTCGAAAACCGAGAAGAGTTCTTTCAAGAAGGGTCCATTCGACTGAATGTGATTCACTATCTCCACCTGATTGAAGAAAATCAGAGAGTTGAGGACAGAGAATGTCGGGTCATCCAGTATTCGAGCCAACACCACGTCTTTCAGATATTGTAGGCGCCATGTGTAGCGAATCTTGCGGCGAATGATGGGATCCTTGATGGGAACGACTTCCTTGTAGCGGCTCTGATCTGCGAGATATTGTCGATGATTGGCCTTGTGGGTGGGAAATTCGGGATCGTCTGAGATGAATTAGTCCTATAGATCCTGCGAGCAACGACACCAAAACAGAGGGACCGATTATCACGCACATTCCAATGCCCCCACCACCCCCAGGATAATATCATCGGTAACGACCGTCTCAATAATAGTGTTGTCATTGAGTAAAATAAGCGATTTCATTATGTTGCAAAGTCGATGCAAATCCGGAAGACTCTCCAGATCCTCTGCGACAGTGACTAAAGGTATCAGCTTCGGGATGTACTCGTCTCTAATGACAAATTTAGATAGCGCGTCGCGACCGGCTTGAGTGATGCTGGCCGCCCTCATGATGTGATCGATTTCCGGAAGATTCCCAAGCTCAGGCGGAGGTAGCATGATTGACTGATAGCTCTCGAGGTCGTCAGACAAGGCATCGTCTAGTAACGGACGTAATCAGTTCCACCGTCACACAGGGATCTGCCACGATGACTTGGGAGCAGCGGGGAGGGATATCAACTAACCTGCTGCTGCCAAGCTGTGTAGGTGTTGTTGGACATTATTCACAAAATTCCTTGGTAACTCGTCAGCGACAAAGCTGAGAGGCGGGCGTCGACGCAACGCCTTACCATATAGCCGCGCAGCCCTCCGCTTCCTGGAAACTCAATGCCATGTCCGTTCCATTAGGCTCTGTCCATACGATAAGGGTCTCTGTTCGGAGCGCACGAGCATTAGCCTCTCAGTTCTTCGTTCATGGCGCGATACGATGAGGACTGCGAAGGAGGTTGACCTTGCTGCTTCTGATAGCCATCGTCCTTGGTGATTCTTGTCTCCAGGAGCACCCGGTCGGGCTCATCCTCTGACTGAACGTATATTCGCGGTTCATCCTACGGGACGTAGATGCCATGTCAGTCATAGAAAAATGAGAATCTTCAGCGCGAGGCCAGGTGCAGTTTTCGCGCCGACAATGGGCGACGCTTTTGCGCTGACCGGGCAAGCGGCAACAGAAACTTACGTCGAGAATCTGTCCCATACAGAAGCCGGTCCCTCGGTCGAACCAGTCATTATCCCTCAGCTCGTAGACCTTAACCCGCTTACGATCGTTGGGTGGTTGTAAGTCCGACGCCATGGTGTGGCAGAAAGGAGAGGTGGCGTCTCTTCAAACCGGAACAACTCAGTGAACGAGTGTACCGGCGCGAGAACCGCCACGGGGGAGTGGAAAGAAAGGGCAGCCGCTGCCTTGTCCAGGGTTGAACGAGGAATGCGCAGGGACGAGCGAAAGAAAAAAGTTTTTATTTTTGAGGAGAATGAGGATCGGAAACGATATCAACAGGCGACGATAACGATGTTTGATGCTGTGCTGCGGATGATGATGATCCTGAGTTGGGGACGGACCACCTGACGGCCTCGGCAGCGGTCGGCGGGCGCTGGTTTTTTTCCCCTTCTCACTTTGGGTTCGGCGAGCGCGCAGAAAAGCGACAGACACGCGACCGTAGAGATAGAGAATACTAAGACGGGCTCCTATCTCCTTGCGTCGCGATTTGGTGAATATTCTGCTCAGTAGCGGTGGTAGTAAATGAGGCGTTAAGGCAGAGAAGCCGACGAGAGTGCTACTCTGAGATATACGATGGACCAGCAGTGGACGACAGGTGGATAAAGCTGGACGAAGCCTTCTGGAATCCTACTTGGTTCGGAGGCGGAAACGCAAGGTAACTAAGGTAGATGGAAAGATAGGTAGACTACCTAGCTACCATATAGGGATCTGCAAGAGAGCGGGCACAGGGAGGTAAGAAAAAAAGAGAGTTTGGCTGGGATGACGTGCCCTCACATCAACAACAGGGGTCTTTCTCCTGTCATTTATTCTAGCAAGGAGGTGTTCTATCATTTCTCTAAGGGTTGAAGATGTCACTAATACTAAAGATTAATCCAAGGAATTAAGATGAACCTAAATACGCATAAACTACGAAGCATTCTATCTAATAGATGTAGTGCTCAGGTACCGGAAGGTCCGCCGAACATGTCATGGTAAGTCACAATTATGATATTTGAGGGGTAGCAACGAGCAAGTAGGAGATAGGTACAAAGATTCATCTGAAACAAGGCTTAAGGTACTCAAGTCGACCTCACTAAAAGAAGCTCTAAAAGAAGCTCTACAGGGGCATGGGTCAGGCCTGGGGCCGCCTAAGGTAGAGGTCTCGGAAGGAAAGAAGCTTAATGGGCTTTCCTTTCCTTGTGACTTGCGAGTTACCTTAAAGTTCCTGGAAAACTATAGGGTAATCAACTAATAGGTATCCCCTTTCCCCACGTTATCCATGGAACATAAGTTCGACGTTCAAACTCTTCACAAATGCTCCATCCTTAGTGTACTAAAAAGATGAAGGATGCAACATGTAACCACACATCTGTTCTGTATACCTCCGTTGGGCATGTACCATCTTGGACGAGATACCCAAACTGAGAAGCCAATCCAATACAGTCACATGGCTTCATGAGATTAGGAAGTCAAGTGCCCGAGCACGACGGACTTCTAATCACTGACAGTCATTGATGTTGGGAGCGCAGGCTGCCGAAGCTCCCTTTGCGTATATCGTACACAAAGACTTCCAACTAACATTCTCATCAAAAGACCACACCATATTTACATTTGGGACATATCTAACGATTCATTCCTTCAGTCACAGTATTAAAACATGTCTACTTCCGTCAATCTCCCGGAACCCAGTAAGACTCGGGCTATATTCATGCCCCAAGCAGAGTATTTCAATCAGGTGACTATGACTAGAAAGTCTAAAAAGGTGCCGCTATAACCTCCGATGTTCGTTTTCTGCTGACAGCTCGACATGGTTCATAAACAACCGAATCATCGAGATTAACGATAGTTTTTTTTTACGGCATTTACATCCTTGTTGATACTGCAGACAAAATTCGAAGCTCTGCAATCCGCATTGCTGCATTGACTTCCTCATCAAGCATCACCCATCAGTGCACCTCCATCTGATGGGTCTGAGCGTTCTGCTAACCTTATCGTCCATGCCCCATTTTCAAAATGTCTTAGGGCCATCGTTTAGTTACGTTTAGCGGCTGTGGAATCAGTTGCCGCCTTGTGATGATTGGCTTTGCAGGGTTGGCGTTGGACAGAACCATTCCATCTGCTGACATAAACAGATCCAGATGCCAGTATGATATCGTCTGATTGGCTCGTAACCCCACGAGGTCGAGGCCTTTTCTTATCGAATATTGACGGCGTTCCGGTAGTGAAAATTACCGCATTGGGAAAAGTCGACTCCGCTTCACCTCTGCCCACTTTTCTTTTTTCTCGGTGCAGGTTTCTGATTTTCTCCTCTTCAGTCCTGTGCAGACTTTGTCTTCAACTCTTCTGAGTAGAGACCTACTCTTACGACCGAAGACGAGCGACTTCTGGGAGTTTTGCGTTCGTTCAGGTCAAAAAGCTCCCTCCATAGACGACCCTGCTTCCTCTACGACTTTCTGGACTGCATTATTCAAGCTTCTTGTCTTAACGAGCATTTGCTGTGTCTAAGCCTGCGTTTTTGTAAATACAATTCGGACACTCTCGCAATGTCGGATACCAAACACCCTGTTGGAGTGCAGACCTCACCTGCGGCTCCTGACGCCGTCGCGTCTCCATACTTCGAGCCTCCTAAGCAGAACGATCCAGTGACTGTCAATGAGAATACACAGGAGGATGACTCTGGCTCTGAAGCTGTTGCGGACCGTATCGATACGCAGAAGAAGGGATTCTGGGCCTACTTTACAACAAAGGAGTTCTATATCACGCTGATACTTGGGTAAGACTCATTGCAAGTGCCTGCTCATGCGCAACAAACCTCTGACAATAGGCTTTTAGGCAGGTGCTGGCCATAACAAATACTGCCACAAGTACTTTCAGCACTCTTCTAAGTCAGGAGGGTACCTCGATTCCGGCTTTTCAGTCTTTCTTCAATTACGTTCTGCTCAACCTCATATTTACACCTTACACTATCTACCGTTATGGTTTCAAGGGCTGGCTCCGCTTGATGTGGCGCGACGGCTGGAAATGTGAGAGAGTCCTCTGTTTTTTATTTCCTCGGTTGCTGTGGTTAGACCGTTGCGGTGTATTGCAACATCACTTACTGACTCGTGTGATTTCAAACAGATATTATCTTGGCTTTTTGTGACGTCGAGGGCAATTACTTCATTGTGCTGGCATACCGTTATACGACAATGCTTAGCGCCCAGTTGATCAACTTCTGGGCCATCGCCGTCGTCGTTTTTATCTCTTTCCTCTTCTTGCGCGTTCGGTATCATATTACACAGATTCTGGGTATTTTGATCTGTATCGGTGGTATGGGTGTCTTGATTGCATCCGATCATATCACGGGCTCAAACGGAGGCAATATTTCCAGCGGCAACCAGATCAAAGGCGACCTCTTTGCGTTGTTGGGTGCGAGCTTCTACGGTCTCACCAACACCGGAGAGGAGTACTTCGTCAGCAGCCGCCCCGTGTACGAAGTGCTTGGTCAGATGGCCTTCTTCGGAATGATCATCAACGGCGTCCAGGCCGGTATTTTCGACCGTCACTCTTTCCAGATCGCCGTCTGGAACAGCAGAGTCGGCAGCTATTTTACCGGATACACCCTCTGTCTCGCATTCTTCTACTGCATGGCCCCGCTCTTATTCCGCCTGTCGTCCGCAGCCTTCTTCAACATCTCCCTGCTGACCATGAATTTCTGGGGCGTCTGCATCGGCATCGAGGTCTTCCACTACAACATCCATTGGATGTACCCGATCGCATTCGTCCTTATCATTGTCGGCCAGCTCATCTACTTCCTCGGAAAGCGAGTTCTCGGCGAAGCCCGCAAGCCCTGGCTCGGTAAGAACCAGGAACGTGGCTTTGCGGGGCTCTTCACCGCAAAGGCGAAGATCGACTCTGTCCGCGCTAACTTGGCTTCTAACAATAATCATAATGCTAATGCTGGTGGTGCCCACCATGATGACCGCACTGCGGCTACGATTGATGAGCGTCATTCAAATGCCGTTTGATCACGGCGTTTCGAGAAAGTTATTATTTGTTCTCCTCCAATTCCGCGCACATAATAATGCCTGAGACATGGCATTGACGTCTGCGCAAAAGTTTCCTTTGGTCCCATTCCGTGCCCATGATCATACATATATATAGTCTCACACTAGAATAGATTACTTTCCGGTGGAGATTAAGTACGCCTCGAGTTCTGAAAGTTTTACCATGCTCATCGTATCAGATAAAGCATGAATGAGGCCATTCTCCAAGAGTGCATCAACAGCATCTTTTGAATATACAGCGAGGATGTAGGTCGCTTTGTGGTGGAGAATGGATAACTCAATGAGTAGGTGAAAAGTTCCATGTAAGGAAGACGAGTACACAAGAAACACAGAAATTGCCAGGAAACATTACATTCAAAAGCTACTCCCGTAAGCATTCCCTAAAGACAGATTGGCCAGCTCGACCCCATCCCTTTTCCGAAGCTCCAAGCCGAGAAGCCCAAAGGAAAGGATAGACAACAAAGAAATAGGCCATTAAGCAACCCCCCACCCCAGTCATTGAGTTTAAAAAGATCAAACCTCGACCGAAATCGCAACCGAAACCCGACAATGGACTGGAACACCTGGAACCCCCCGTAATAAGAGCCGAGATAAGAGTCCCACGGAATACACCCACAAACATGCAAATTCACTCCCCATCCCAAGAACTGCGGAGACCCAAAACAAGATGAATCAATGGGAAAGGAGACATATGCAACACCAAGGGGAGGCAAATCACAAACAAAAAGAGGTCATGGTAACAGATCGAAGACCACAGGATGCAAACACAATGAAAAAGGGATATACCGACTCCCGAAACCAACAGGCCAACCAAGTTCCTTAGTCAGTAAACCAACAATGTACCAAATTAACTGTCCACATATGGATCGAACGAAGTGAGCGCCAGACAAGAGTTGCTCCAGCCACTTCTTCCGAATATGTACCATGCTCTGTCCCAATATTTCGAGAAAATAAATAGGAAATTAAAAAAGGCGAAACCAACCTCAGAACGCCACGATACCACTGAACAGATGTCGAACAAATGCAGGGCTAGAAGCTTTTGATACAGTCATGCGACTTAACCCCAAACGGAAGCCTGGACCCCCAGGCCACCCTTGGAGCCCCATACACCGCTGCCATTGCCCCAGCCCAGACCGACACCGCCGGAGGATTCCTTGGCGCCGGCGGTTGAGGCGGAGGTAGAGGCAACAGGATTGGAGGCAGAAGAGGCCGCACGGTCGTTGTTCGCCCCAGAGGCGACTCCGTCGCTGGAAGTGAAGCCAAAGCCAAGAGGGGACGGCAAGGGGGTCGTGGAGCGCTTGTTCAGAGCAGGATTGGAGATCTGGGAAGGGCCTGACTGCTGAACGGGGCGAGAACCGATCGGGCCGACGGAACCAATCGCGCCAGCAGTGGGTTTCACTGGTGCCTGTCTCGAAGAGGGCGAGTCGGCCCTACCAGGTGAGGAACTCGAGGTCGGGGCCTGGTCAGAGCCATCAAATTTTCCGAAAACAGGGTTCATGCCGGAGCTCGGGGACGAAGTGCTGTTAGCGCGAGAGGGGGACTGGAGTGACGCTCCGCCGGCAGTATCGGTGTTGCCCTGAACTGGAGTCTGCGATAGGCCAAAAGGGTCAATACCACGAGGAGATGCGCCACGTACACCGGCAGCGGATGATGGAGTACCGCCGGCTTGACTCGCGGGTCGGGAATTATCGTCGCCAAAGTTGTTGGGCGGGAAGAAGGCCGGGCTTTCGTTTCCATAAAGAGCCCTATGCTGGCGTGCTAGAAGTTCTCGACGGCTTTCCTCACTCACGGCGGCCGGGCTGAGCGAGCGATCGGATTTGTTTCCAGACATTTCGGCAAGCAGGCCTTTAGGGAAAAGAAATATTAAAACTCATGTTCAGGAAAGAGGTCAAAGCCCAAAGTATCATACAAAACAGCGAATACATGAATGTGAACATTGAATCATGGGGGAATATCAAGAAAACAAGGGGAAAGATATCCAAAAAGACAGATGCTACCACGTACTTCGGTTGTACTGTTGCTCCTGATGATAGTTGCGGAGCTCCCGCTCGCGTTGTGCTGCCATCCGACGCTTTGCCTGCATCATCTGCTCTACCTCGTTGGGGCGACTCTGGAAACGCTGGGCTGCATAGTATCCCGGGACGTTGGGGTTGCCGAACTCGCTGATTGAGTGGTGACGCTGGGCCACAGCTCCCGTAACACGGGGGTCTGAATTCGAGTGTTAGGAGTTATCGCGCGCCACAGGATGTTTAAAAGGAAACATACCATACTCAGGGTAGGGCCGGCCCATCGCCATGGGCATCGAATCTCGTCGGGGAGCTGTCCACAGCTTCCCACTCTTGACGAGATTATCGATTGCACGATCGACCTCTATTGCAGACCATTAGCGATGAGTTCTTGAGAATATTGACCGCACAGTCCAAGCGTCCCCGCCCCGGCTCCAATCAGAAATGATTTTGTATCGGGGAGGGATTCGAGATGTTCCTGGCAGGCGCACGAAGTTCCGCTGCTGAAGGGCCAAAGGGGTAAATGGATGTAGGAAGACTCATGACCGTACCGTCGAATTGCGACGAAAAAGCCGGCATCTCATCCCGTTGAGAGACTGAGCTCGATCCTGATGACACCACCGTAAGCAATCTTCGTCGACGGGAGGGACGGATAAGCGCTGAGCATACCTGACCGCGATGGGGGCTGAACGGGATGCTCCCATGAGGTCTGGCGCGCAGTAGGCGCTTGCCAACCCTGAGGCTCATAGTACGCCATATTGGACAGAAGGAACCGGACTGGGTTTCCTTGACGGCGAGGACGAGGGCGACGGCGGCGGCGGCGAGAGGAGTTAATCTGCTCGGAGGAACCACGAGAGATCTATTTGAATGTAGTGACAGGTAAGCATGAGCCCCCAAAGTAAATCAATAAAGAATTGCACCCATCGGTCAACACGGAGCAACAGAAAGCGCAAGAAAACTGGAACTGTCGAGTGTCCGTGCGATCGAGGGAAAATTGAGGATGGCGAGCAACCATGACATCGACCGACTTATTCCTGGCGTATCCCCAAAGCTGACTTTGCGCAGCCGAGAAACCTTTTTTGGCTCTGGAAAAAAAGTTTCACATTTCCCCAACGATCGGCAGACACAGCACATTCCAGTCGACATATCATGTCGTATTCCAAATTGGAAGAGAAAGTGGGAATAAATTGACAGGCATGTGGATAAATTCATTTTTCCCATTTTCATCATTTCTTCCCCCTCTTCCTCTTCCCAAACCAAGGTCATGGAGTGGGCGGCAGTTTGGAAAAAAGCGAGGATATTGGGAATATAGTTCCAATTGACTTACGGGAAAAGGAGTGATTGCCCTCTCTAAAGAGTTCCAGGCGGCTCTACCACGAGTGAACGAGGCAGAATGCGATCGAACAACGACTTTTCACCCTTGAGACCCGACAGACAAAAGAGTCTGGCGTGTGTGGGGGGAGGGATGTTCCAAAGGAATGGAGAGGATTGATGGAGGAGGGTGAGAGGAGGGAGACGGAAAGGGGAGAGAGAAAGTAGAGATGGGGACGGACAGTAATAATGTCAGACAAGAGAGAGAGAGACAGAGCACCTAGGGTAGTAAGGCCCCGGAGACACTGAGGGGAGGGGAGAGCGAGGAGGGGACAATCGGACAAGACCAGAAGAGGACCGGGCAGGAAAGGAAAGGAGAGAAGCGAAGAGAAAGCGTGGGATTGGATTATTTTTCCCTTTCCTGCACAAGAGTTACTTCGGAGTACCTAGGAATTTTATTTTTCTTGACCGGCGACAATTTTCAGTGAGGGTTAGAAATGATAATAATAATAACCTTACGTACTTCAAGCGCTTGACAGATAACTACAATATAACTACAACATCTTAATTGCTCAGAGAAAATAATTATGCAGGTCAAATATACATCGAAGAAATGACGCTATTCCTCGACCTTGAGTGATTTTACCTGATGTGTCTTGCAGTTGACATTTGGAGAAAAGGGAAAAACCTTGCACAGATGACATGCGAAAAGGAAAAAAAAGAAAACGAGAATGGTGGATATCAGGCCTAATTTGCACACTTGTGGTTGGTGATGGAGTGAGTTGCCGGGTCGTTTGGAATCGCTTCTTCCCGGCTTCCGTCCTAGCTATTTAGGTACCCTTGACGGAATTCTCATTTCCTATCCCACATCATTAGACAGGATCCACTCAAGATAGAACGAGATCCTTCACCTGGTGTGCTGTGTAATATCTCATAGTCTCTTCGATTTACATCAGGAAGGCGCAAGACACAGGTACATCCTCGTTGAAGCTATCTAGGTATCGGAGTAGGTACTCCGTAGTACCTAGATACGTACTCTGTAGCATTGTAATCACAATGCTCTATCTGGTTAGCACATAGCATCAGGGGTCCCCTGTTTAATTACATCGTGCTACTTAGAGTACTACTACTAGCTTATGTGCAGGTCCTTTGGAATAGAATATTGACTCCTGATATACTCTTCTCTGTGGTAACGCATTGTCAGATCAGAGGAACCAGATACTACAATATACATTGAAAGACACCCATAACTCCTCAGTGTATGGACACCATTTCATTTTGATCGTGATGCGTTTTCCAGTTCTGCCGGTAACCGGAAATTTTGGGGAGTTTCTTGTCCTTAATTTGCACTCTTTAGCGTCGGCCCATCCACCGCACTATGGAGTTGTCCCACACACAGTGCAATCCTCCTGGGCTATCTATGGAATACTTGGAGACATTTGAGTACCTTAATTAGTTTACATCTTTCGGCTAGGAACTCGGAGACTGGATGTACTACGATTTATCTTTCCATGCTGCGTCAGCGTTATCACTAATCAGACTTCTGTCAAATATGTGCTGGAAGTTTCCTAGATAATCCGATACGATTCAATTTCTTTCCGTCAGGGATGATTGAGAGCTTCGGTTACAGTGACCGTACAGTGGGTTTATCCAGCAATCCTCAGCCATGGTCTCATAGTGCATATTCAAATACTACCAACTTGTCCCTCATAACCACTCATTGGCCCCCTGCTTCCCTCTGTCAAAAGCAACGCAAATCAAGGTCTGGCAGCGACAAGGTCATCAGCCAAATTTTCCGGCAAATGACAAGACCTTGGCTGCTCGAGATTTTTACACAATGCTGATTAACAGACTCCAGCACTCGGCTCACAACTCGTGGGGATTAAATTAGAACATAGCTCAGATCCCACCCTCCAACCGCGCCATCTCAATCCGTTTACTATGACTGAATAGAATCATGAAAGACACTTGCCGCTCCATCCTGGATATCATCGTCTGCAGCTCAACCTGATTAGCTGCTGTCTACTCCTTACATAGTACATCTGAGCCTTGAACCTTGACGGTCACAAGCAAATAGCTCGTTTTTATAGTCATCCTAGGCGAAAGACATCGACATATTCTGTGCAGAACTCTATGAACTGCGATCCATATTATACCTCAGAAGGTTGCACTCTGGAAAAAAATTAGCCACCACAGATTATATCGGTTCAAGCTTCCACCCAGTTCAGTCATAGGTGGCTATCCCACCCTGTTTCTTCTTGGTATCAATCAGTTAGCCCAACATGTACTCTCTAGGTAACTACCACCCCTACATCACACTGCAGATGTCCAACTTTCAGACTCTGCATTCGACGCATTCTGTACAACAGCAGCAAACTTTAACTTTCTAGCCCGTAGAGTATGCAAATATCATTAGTTCAGAGCATTAGACTAGTAAGCAGTACACCACTGACTGCCAAAAAAGAGGATGGTGGGGCAATTTAATCCCGGATGGCACTCGGACCCTTGCGACTACTGTACACCTCGATCGTCTCTCAGCATACAGTCATTATGGAGTAGACTAAGGTAGGTATGGAGGTGACAGCCCCATATCTTCATTTGCATTCAGCCGTCTCTACGACCGCGGAATATGGGTGCATTCTTGGCCTCTCGTCATTGGCGGACTGATCTACTACTGCATTTTCAACACCTGACTCTTCGAAAGACTGACTGGAGATGGAATGACGTAGGTCTCCTCTATACTAGGTGGAGTGTAGATAGAGAGTAGACAGTGCCTATATGTCAGAGTATGTCAGCATGTCAAGATTCTATCCTTGCTTACCTCATAATGTCTGTATCAAAAGGCCCAGTATAATTCATAGGTAAGGACTGCATCTTTCTCACTGAGGCGATCTTGTCGAATTGCTACAGGCTTATTTGAGGTCAGAAGCCAGCTTCCAGTGATAAACACCGCTGTCCCATCCTTGAGTAAGGTCTCGATTCAAGCGCTATTAGCTCTACATATCTCCTCTGTCTCGTCAACTACACACAGCATGTAGCCAAGGCGAAGGCTTGCTAAACTTCTAGAAACATGTGGCACGGTTCCTGACTCTTGCATATTACATATCCAGCGAGTCTTCCTCGCAGCCGAGACCCAGGCCACGCTAGAATCTACATAAAGGCTCCTACCAATTCCCAAGGTGGCTTCAAAACCTCTTTGTCCTTTGCCCAATTGATGCTACCACATTTGGACTCGGTTGCTGGATCGGGTTAAATTGGTCCTCTCTTCGTGATTCGATAGGAGGTATGGACAGTTTTAGTCCTTTTGGAGCGTTTGAATGAAAGCTGAGAAGATACAGGCAGGGTGAGTACACTGGCTAAAACGTTAGTGGTTTCGATGGAGTAACTATGTGATATATCGCACATTTGCCCTGACGGAACCTTTATTTCTCAATCGGGCGATGGAATGGAACCAAAGGCCAAGCAAAGATGATTGGAACGATCTTCATGTACGATGCAAGGCAAAAGAGAGGATGCTGGATGCCACTGCAGAGGATGAGCATCACCGTGTTCCCGTTGGCGCTTGTCATCGGTCAAAACCAACGCCCCTAAGGCAGAGCAACGGTAACACGTGCCCACGCCCTAGACACATCCGGAGCAGGGGCCGAGACAGGTCCTCGAAGACTGTGGGCTAGTCTTTAATGAGGTACGAGAATCGCGGGGCAGAAAGGAGAGGGGATGATCAAGAATGGAAAGTACCTAGTTGGAATTACTAAGGTACTATTGATAGTGAACCAGCCCAGATCTTGTCTCCTAACATAAACAAAGAACAAGATCAAAGACAGCGAGAGAGCCTCGAATAATAAATCACATTAGGTATCATGATCGGAGTAACTCATTGATTAATAACTTATTCACAGCAGTAACATTGAGGGGCAGGCCACCTGTAATATCTGGAGACTGATGGTTTTCGCGAAGTGGAAATTCTGTGGTATCTAGATCTTAGAGTACCTTCGTGGTATTAATCTTCAAACGGAAACCTCAAGGCTACTTAGACATGAGAAAATAGGCTAACTCCATTATCTATGCACCGAGCATCGAAGTAACCCCTGATGTCGGGGGAGTAATTAACTGCCTTAGGCAGAGGTGTGATGTGGGCTCAATAATGATAAAGGGAAACAATAATAACAGAACATCCATTGAAGGAAGAGCTAGTCAATACCTGCCTTATTATTCTCAAGTCTCTTCAGTCTGCCAGACACTTCCATGCACCTGCCATAATCAGAGAGGAGACAATAGGATCTGTATACTCCTTAACGGGATTGAGCAAAACCTGTCATCTATCAATTTGGGATTGAATCCAAACAGAAACAAGCGTTCCCCATCGACTACAGCACCACGCTCCGTTGTCCCTTTCTTTCTGAAACTCCCGATATTTCTCGTTATTCTGTCTCCAGTTTCCTTTCA